GCTTTTTTTGGATATTGTCATAATGACATTATGTATCTTAATGAGTGTAGTCTGTAGGCATTTTGTTTGTCTTAAATGTATTGCTTTAATAGAAAAGAAAAAATTGTTGCATTAGTATATTGTAATTAGTAGTCATGATGTGTGTTCATTCATATGAATATCATGTGTAGGGTGGGAGTGTGTTACCAGGCTAAGGGTATTTAGGATTGGTTTTACCACAAAATCCCAAAAGACAGATTCCTGAAAGGACCTAATACTGACAAAGTTAGCCGGCATTAGTTATAATGCTGGTCAATTTAGTCAGTATTATGTTCTTTTAGGAAAATGGTTTTTGGGATTTTGTGGTAGAACCTTTAGGATTAGTATGCCAGGTAGTTGTTTGTTTATCTTCTGTTTGTTATCATTTACCTTGGTATTGGCTGGCTTTATTGGCCCACCTTTCATACTCATTGTTTATGAAGCTCAGCAGTTTGAAATAGTGCAACTACTAGTATAATGTCTAGGAACCGATGATTGGATAAATTGGTTTCGAGGCTGCAAGAGCAGTGTAAGAACCAGATCGGGAAGAAACGTACAGTAATTCAAAGAGATTTTCATTTAATCGCTATCTAACCATGAAGTTTCTTTCTCTTGTATCGTTGATCTAGTGTTGTTTTTGTTTGTGATCGGAGTGTGTTAATGTCAAGATTAAGGTATGAGGTGTATTTAAGATTTGTTAATAGCGAGTTTTAATGAATAGATCTGGCTTGGTTAGCCTGTTGTTTGGACTAGAGTCGAAATATAAAGTTATCTCTAAATAGCTAGGGACAGTTACGAGTGTATGATATTTGATCTATTTCCTATATGTATTTTCATTGTCATAGCATTAAAGTCTATGATCAAGCAATAATAATGACCATATTTCATTAAACGAATTTTTAAACACGCATTATCAGTATTTTGTTTAAGGATAGTTTTTTGCGATATTTTTTTTCATGTGAATATTATTGTAAAATATTAGTAAGGTAGTTTTTTTTTTTTTTTTTATATATACATATCTCCCTTATAGGAAGGTAATTGTTATGAGTGACATCTTTTGGTTTATGTCGCTTTGGATATGAAGTTTATATGATGTAATTTATTGTTGTTATATTCAAATAAATATTAGCAGTTATTTTTCAATACGCAAAAAATAAGTTAATTTTGTTGTTTAGTTGTTCATGATGTCTTGTTATGCTGATGCTATTGTTAAAGTGAATCAGGTTCGTCAAACTTGCAATGAGGATTCAAAATTGTTTGCTATACGGGCAGTTGGTGTTTATCCTATTGAGAGTGAGGATTGCGAATTGGATATGACTTTATTTATTCTGACGAATGATGAAGAGAGAGATCCTAATTCACAATCGATTTTTGAAACAAATGAGTATTATTGTGTTAGCAGAAAAATCGTGCTTGGATCTTATAATGGAAATTTAAGATTAAAAGTTTGTGTATTTAGTTGTATGCATTATAATTTTTGAACTATTATTAAATTTTTTAAATTTAGATGACTGTTGTATCCTCGACTCACCTTTCATTTAAAAAAGATTTCAGTTTAAATAGGTGCCTATTAAAAGTTTTGCTTGTTGGTGTTGCTTAGGATGCACCTAAAGAGATTAATCGCGAAAACGCAATACTTAATGTATTAGTAAATGATTATGCCAGACAAATTTACAGTTTTACGATCAAAGTCATTTTTCTGCACCATAATTCTTGATTCAAACATTTAATGAATTCCACTCGATTGCATGAATCAGTGCTTTCGGTTGTAGGGCAAATGGAGATTATTGAAAAGGATTTATATGTGTATGCCGTCGATATTTTTTATGTTGATACTGGTTCTGCAACAAAGAAGAAAGTTAATATTTCTGAGAATACTCCAGCACTATATAGATCCGTTCGTTCAAGTCTTTTAAATGTATATCAGAGTATTAACAAAGATTCATCAAAAGCAGCTGGGATGAAAAATTCAGATTTAGATAATGAAAAGAGTAAGCTCGTAACTGATTTAACTACTAAGGATTTTCATATAGATAAATATACAAGAGTAGAAGACGAGAAAGATGATTTTATCGAGTATGTTGATAAATGTACAAATGATTGTGATAAAGAAAGTATGGATAGGAGTAATAAATATAAGAGTAGTATTGTTCAGGATAATAAAAGTTCAGAGTGTAATTATGAAAATTCAAATAAAGGCAAGAAAAAGATTATTCAGCCTGTAGTTTACAATACTAGGCAATAGTCTGAATTGTCTAAGATCATCAACAGTAGTGAGAGGGTATAACTTGTGGTTTATATTTTCAATAATTAATATTTATCTATCGAGGTGTTTTTTTATTATTTTGGGTCCTACTTTTAATACACTATATATTTATATTTCAAATATTTTTTATAGTATTTTATTTTATTTTTTTTTTTTTTTTATATTAAAGGTGACCACTTAGGCCATTGGCATGAGCTTTATTTCGGATAGTTACGATATTACATCAGATTCACGAGG